GCCGCCGGCCGGGCACTTCCCCTCCCGGGCTCTGGCGGCGCAGGGTCTGGAGGCATGGGGGCTGCCCGAAGCCCGTAGCGCTCGGCTCTTAAACAGAGCCGAAGAGTCAGGGGAGGAGCAGAGCAGCCGCGGGAGGGGAAGTGCCCGGCCGGCATTTTCCCGGACATGTTCGGCTTTTTGGCAATTCCCCACAGACGGGGGTTTGATTACCAAAAAGCCGGACATGTCCGGGAAAAACCGGACGTATGGTAACCCTAGTTATTGCAAATGACATTACAGAAGAGAAGAAGGTGCCAATATTCTTAAGCGTTGTAGGGGCTAAGACCTACTCCCTGCTACGCAGCTTACCTCACCCTGTTAAGCCAAAGACTAAATCTTACAGTGACATTGTGGAAATCCTGGGGTCCCATTTTTCTCCAAAACCACTGGTAATTGCTGAACGATATAGGTTCCACAAAAGAGACCAGAAAGAAGACGAAACAGTTGTACCATTTGTAGCAACTTTGAGGAAGCTTGCAGAACACTGTGAATTTAAGGAGATGTTAAATGATGCCCTACGTGACAGGTTAGTGTGTGGCCTGCACAGTGAAGCTATGCGGAAGTGCCTATTGACAGAGGCTCAGCTTACCTCACAGAAGGCCATTGATATTGCTGTCTCCATGGAACTGACTACAAAGGAGGCACAATCCATCGGTGCATCCCCTAGGGTGCATGAGGTGTCACAAGAACCTACCCACAAAACTGTGGGGAGTCAGGAATGATACTGCTGTGGTAAGCCGGGTCACCAGGCATCAGAATGCTGGTGTAAGGATCTGGTGTGTCGACACTGTGGCAAAAAGGGACACATTGCGTGTGCCTGTAAACAAAAGAAAAAGAGGCCCGTGGTCTGGCCGACTAAAAAGGGAAATCTGCATACCCTAGAGCAGACCCAGGATGACCAAGGAGATACCTCCTCACAAGAAGAGGAGCCACTCCACGTTTTGTCTTTGGCAGTGGGCTCACATGAATACTAGGTAACCCCGTTGTTGGATGGCAAACCTATATGCAGGGAACTGGACACCAGTGCAGCTGTTTCGCTGATCTCAGAGACTGTGTATAAAGAAAAGCATCTGGACACCTTCTTACTATCCTAAAGAAACACACCTCATGCTACGACCAAGGCATCCCCAGCCTTTCTAATGATGGGACGACAGCTGCGCACTTGCTTTGATCTGCTGAAACATTCTGAACCCCGACAAATTGTGCAACGTCGGCAGCAAGATCAAGTCATCAGGCGTGCACCCAGAGCAAAAGACCGAACCTTTAGCCCGGGACAGCCGGTTTTGGCTCGGAATTATACTTCTGGAGCTAAATGGGTCCCTGCCGCTATCATTGCTCAAACGGGACCTGTTTCCTACACAGTCCGGACTGCAGAAGATCTCACCTGGCGGCGACATGTAGATCAGTTGCTGCCAGGTCATACCAGTCCTCAGGACACATCTTCAGTTGAGTTGCCTGACTTCACCACCTCTGGCGAGACACCAAATCAAGAGTCACCTGATCCTGACTTTTACCCTCCATTACTGCTAGCGGCAGAGATACCCCTCTGCCCGGCACGAGCTGATACCCCATCCTCACCCATTCGCCCTACGAACCCTGAGCCCATTGTCAGGCCCGCGCCCAAGACACTTTCGCGTGCAACACCACCAGAAGTCCACCGTAATCCACCTAGAGACAGAAGGTCTCCTTGTCAGCTGGATCTTTAGCTAGGGAGAACCCACGGTTATGGGGCAAAATAATCCCCGGGGTTTAGCCAGGAATGGAGGCAGTCTACCCTCCTTCTCTAGTGTAGTGTTTGTTTTATTTAGGGGACATTCTTATTAAGGGGGGAGGAATATGTTGTGTATTTGGTTGTCGTGGTAATAGAATCTTGTGTTGCTATGGCAACTGAGTTAGGTTATTAGGGGATAAAACCTAACCAGTTTTGGCTGGCTGTTGGTTAGTTCTGTGTGTGCCAATAAATGGCTACTTCAAGGTTTACAGCTCTGTGTCTCCAGTGATTTCTTCCTAAAACAGTTGCCCCCAAGGATATAACATCACCTAGCAACTACCTCCAGGTATCATATAGGCTACCCAGGTGAGCTCTCCGGCGAGTGCTGTGGCCACCGGCTGTGGGACTCTGTAGCCCTAGTGGGAGGAATGTTGGTTGGAGAGACATGGCCTGTTAGAATGGTTCAGCAGCCTGTTGAGCTGAGCAGGTCCGGCTCAGGGCCCAATTCACAGCTAGCTCCAGTGGGGTTGCAATGACTCCCGTGGGCAGTGAGTCCTTCTCCTCCTAGGCCACAGGAGCCAGCAGTAGTGGAAAATGTGACGGAAGAAATTAAACAGTAGTGCCAGCAAGTCAAATATTATTGAGAAAGGGGCACCAGGATGGACCCTGAACTCTATCTAGGACCGTGCTAGGGTACAGCCACGCCCTAGTGATGGAGGCGGTGGGTGCAGGGAATAGCACCAGGGTCCTACATGACGGAGTACAACTCCACGACCCTCGTTTCCTCAAAGCAACCACTGAACAACTGGCCTCAAGGGATGAGGGCCCAGCCACTCAGCTGCAGATACAAGGTGTGCCGCTCAAACCAGCAATGACCACGAGACAGTGACAGAGGTGAAGACACAAGACCGGCTTCCAGATGGCAAAGAGCAATAGCAGGAAGGGGAACAAAATAAAACCACCGCCAGATGAAGAGTTGTTAGGTTGTTTGATCATCTCAAAGATTCTATTGTCCATTGAGTTCAGTTGCCTCGCAGGAAGAGAGGTGCTAGACTAATTGTAAACAAACAGCTGCATTTTATGTGCATATAGTTAGTACTGTACGTATAAAGAGTGCCATCTGCTGGCACAAACATGAGGTCTGCAGTAGCTATATACTAAGACTACAGGATTGTCACTCAGAAGCCCAAAATGTCTGTAGTCAGTCTGAAGTGATAGAAACAGCTACAAGCATGAGAGCTCCTCTCGTTCAGAATATTGTCGCCTGTTTTAGACCTGAGTGGCTGGTCACATTTTGGGGCTTTAGGGACGTTCCAGGTGGAAGCAGAATATCCTCTTTGATGCAGTCTTGTTTACTTACAAGGAACGTTCGAAGTCCTTCTCCGAGCACAGGACAAAAGGAACGGCTCCTTACAGCCCTAATCATTTTTAGCCAACACACCAAAAAGCTCTCTAGCTTTTACCAAGGACACACTGCTCGACTTT